CTCTCTCTCTCTCTCTCTCTCTCTCACCTTACCACATTACATCCCAACAGTAGTGAATCTTTAGGTCCCCACAGCTCCCTCCTAACGCCCCTCGCTCGCACGGATAATGAGCACCAGGGGAAGGTGGAGGGCGGCGCTGAGGAAGATCAGAAGTCTGCCCTCGATCCCAGATAGTTGTGGAGCGAGGGGACATCACCTACAGCTACCTAAAAGCCTCAACATCCTCTCATTGCCGGGCGGCGAAAGACGGCAAGCGGACAGAACAGCAAGGAGAGCGGAGCAGAAGAAAGAAAAAAAAAGGGGAGACAATTTTCTCCCATGCCACTTTCTACTATCAGCCTCATCGTTCGAAAAAAGGATAACCACGCCAGTCTCACTTATTTAAATTATTGTAAGCGCCGTGCACACGCCGCCTTTTCTTCCCTTTCCCGCCTCAAAACTGCATTGGTTGTATGCCCTGTACCATGGCGCTCCTTTCTCGCAGAACTCGATCACACCATTCTGCGCTACTCGCGCTTTCATTGGTCGCGAGGAAGGACGAGGACCGAAGGAAGGATGGCCGACCGGACGGGGAAGGAAGAATGGCCGACCGGACGGGGAAGGAGGATGGCCGACCGGACGGGGAAGGAGGAGGGACGGAGGGAGGGCAGTAGTGGGGAGACGAGGAACACAGTGGCCACAGCGGGGGAACCAATATCCCCTCCTCTCGCGAGACAAACACAAAGAGATAGGGAGAGAGAGAGACCGCCACACAGCATCTGAGTTGCGCCTCCTACCCCCCTCCTCCACCTGCGGGGGGTCTCTTTCGTAAGCTGTGTCACAACTGCAGGGTATCTTTCAAAAGCCTTCGTTCCGTGCGTCTCCTTCTTTCATAAGCCTCCGATTACATCACACGGCTAAGCACCCTCGCCATGTGCTGTCGACGATGAGCGGCTTCGAGACGCCGCGCGAACCAGGAGGTGCGGATGCCAAAACGTGCGGGCATTCCTTCTTGCGCATCCCGCATCCGCGGTGGTTCGCTCTAGCGGCTTTCACAAGGAAGGCATCGAAATGAAACGAAACAGCGAAGAAGAAGGGGGGGAGTCAAGGGTAGATTTCTGGGCACGGGGGGGGGGGAGCGATGACACACAACTGCGCGGCCAGAGAAATGCCCGCTGACAAGCAAATGACTCGAGTCGAACTACAAAGTGTAAGACGCAAAAACAGCAGCGAGGGTACCGAGATGGCTATGGAGATTGCAACAACAAACGCTTTAGAGACGAGGAGGAGGAGGAGGAGGAGGAAACGAAAGGAAAGAGAGCCCTGGTTGGGGACGCACGCGCTCCCACGCACGACAGGAGGAGGGAGGGAGAGAAGCGTAAGGGGGGAGACGCGGGGGGGAGATGGTCTCAGGAACCGCCAAGGACTCCGACCGGACCAACCGCCACGCTACGCATACTGCGCTGCCCAGCGCCCGCCAAAATCTTCCGTCCTCCGACCCCACACGCTCCACCAGTCCCACGACGAGGAGACGAAACCCACGGCCCCCCCACTATCCTCCCCCGCCCGCGCCCTTCCCCCTTCCCACCCTTCGCCACCCCTTGCCACTCGTCACACTCGCAGACCCCCCTTCCCGCGAACAACAAACATTGGGTATACAGTCCCACTTCCCAAGGTTCCACCTACCCACGGCTCCACGCCCGTTGGTCCCTTGCGTCTACCTCTCTCTCTCTCTCTCTCTCTCTCTCTCTCTCTCTCTCTCTCTCTCTCTCCCACCCACGGCTCCACGCCCGTTGGTCCCTTGCGTCTACCTCTCTCTCTCTCTCTCTCTCTCTCTCTCTCTCTACCCCTCTACCTCTCTCTACGCGGCTCTACGTCTCAGGTCAGGTCAGACCTCGTACTCGCTTTGAAGGAAGACGCTCGTCTTTACCGTCAGAGAGGACAAAGAAAAGAAAAAGGGAGGAGTCCCTTCCCCCCCGCGTGAAAAAAAAAGAAGCCCTTTCCTCACTCATTCCGCGCTTCGCCGGCGTATCCGACACTCTTCCGCTCCCTTCCGCACCCTTGGGAGGAGTCCCCTCCCCCTTTCGCCCGTTGGTCCCTTGCGATCATTCACAGGCGTTATAGCGGACCCGAGACCGCTCACTTTGAGGGAGCAGTCCCGACTGTGTGCAAAATGAGAACGAATTTCCCGCAATAACATGGAGATAGACACGCGCCATATTTTTTGTCTTTTGTGCATTCACAGATGTTATAGCGGACCCGAGACCGCTCGTTCATTCACAGATGGCACCGCATCTTGGCCCCGCCTTCCACCTCCTCCTCGTCGATTCTGCCGCCGTCCTTCTCCCTCCCCTCGAGCCTATCCAATCGAATGGAGCCACTAGGGAATAGGCGGGAGAGGTACGGTAGCGGTGACCCCTCCGACGACCGCCACCATGCCCCGCCTTCTCTTCTCTCTCTCCCCTCTCCGCCGATCTGCCTCGTCTGATGTACGCCTGCCAACTCTCTACCTCGGTATCTCCGCCAGTGCTGGCCTCATAGAATGGTAGTGGTAGAGCAGAGTAGACAGTTACTTCGTCCTCCCTACCTCTGACCACACGGCGGAAGGAGGCGGAAGGAGGGGGAAGGAGGCGGAAGGAGGCAGAAACGCCGAACCGCCAGGATTCGCAAGATCATGTGACCCCGCTGTTGAGCAGGAAATACTTTCGTTGCTGAAAATAGAGCACAAATCAACCGCCACTACAAGCACACAGTATTGGACATAACGCCCGAATCTGGACGTGTTTTCCCACAGGTGCACACAATCGCGATTGATCTGCATTTTTTGTAGCACAGGGAAGATTAGCATGGCGCAAGGCTCGAAATCTTTCAAAAAGGGGAAAAAGGAAATCCTCCACTGTGGAGGAAAGGACGAGACGAAGCGCAATACTTCTTCATTTATTCACTTCTGCTTCCCGCGCGTTCTTGTTCCCTTTCCCGCCAAGCCTCGATAGCCTGGATGCGCTGTGCAACTTTTCTTTCTGTGTGGAGGACAGCTATCGGCTTCGTTGTCTTTCTCTTGGCCGTCGTCGAGCTCCTGACCTCCAGAACGCGGTACGCATTGCCGGTCTGTACGTGAGTCAAACTCTGGCGGAGGGGCAGACACAGGCCCTCGCTCCACTGTGTGGAGAGAGTACTGGAGCGAGGCCCTCACTCTCCGATTTTGATGTTAGAAAGGGGTCCGAGAGTGCTCTCGAACTTCTTTGCTCTCCGTTGAAATTGGAACGATGGCCCCTGGGCAAGGATGACACACATAAAACTCCTTCGCTTCGCCCGCCTGTAAACCGCCCACTTCGAGAGACCTTCAGCCCGAATCTCTCGAGAGAGTCCAGGTGGACAAGATTTCTGGCCCACAAAGTGACAACCACTTGAGACAAATGGGCAATGCCAAACTCTTATGGTAGGCTCAAGAGTTGGCTGTTAGAGAAACGGGCTCGCCACAAGTGGTAAAATTGACACCCCGTCATCGTCACACAGCCTTTCCAACCATCGGGCAGTGGAAAACTTTCTGAAAGGTGTCAGTGACAGCGGCCTCAAAAGGCTTTTCGAACTTGCACGATCTTCCCTCTCTCCCTCTCCAGAGGTCTTGTGAAAACTTGTGAAAAGGGGCCTTCTTGAGGCCGTCTGTCAGGTCAGGGGATGCTTTTTCGAAAGGCTGTGTGTGGAATGAATTTCGAAAGTCTGGGTGGTGAAGGGGGGGTGTTCTTTAAAAACTCTTTTCGAATTCTGTCTTTCGAAACTCTTTTCGAATTCCCTCTGACAAATTTCGAAAAATGCCTCCGTCTAACTCAGGGGGAGGCAGGGGAAACCGGTCGTCGCTGCTAGCACTAGCGCGCAACTCGCCACGGCAGACACGGCGCCGTGTTTCGTTTTTTCGACATTTTCAAGGGTGTGCCGTGCCATTGGACTGCCATGGTATTGCTATGGTGGTTAGGGAAAGAAGGCTTCCTCTCAACTAGCGAGGACACGACTCCTGCCGTGGGGTCGAGCCTATCACCCATTAGTGGCTGGTCCCCCCCCCCTCCTATTCTGCGCGACATCCGGCCTGGAGACTTCGACATCAGCAGCGACGATGGCGAATAGTTGACCTATGACTCGAATATCCTCAAGGCCAAGTGGATATCTATTCTACGGGACTATGAATGCTTACTTTGCCATCCTTCCTTTGCCTTCTTTGTGGGCGACTTCGGTAAATAACTGTCACAAAGAATGTATCATCAGCAAGACCAGGGAGCGGGGGTAGAAAATCACCCAGGAGCCCCAAAACGGGCATACACAGATGAGGAAAAGGATCAAATAAACTCTATGTTAGATGCGAGCTTCCAGGATGGAATCGTCCCAGCCAGTCTGAGCATAGGAGTTGCACAACTGACGGATGACTTAGCCCGCTTTGACTTAAACGAAGAATTTTCGGAGCAGAATATTCAATGGTTGAAGAAGCACGCAGTCACAATTCGATTTCTGAATGATGAGGCGACCCTGTCAGACAAACTCAAAAAGAAATTGGTGCGAGTATATGAGAATGCTTGGTATGAATCTGGTCTTCTGGACGACGGGGTAAAAAGAGGCAGATATCAAAGTGAAGGGAAGAACTTATGCTCCTTTGTCTACTCACAAACTAACGTCATAGAATGTATGTTGCACAAGAAGAACGACGTGATCTATGCAGAAGGGAAAGAGTATCGAGTTGCCTTTCTACCCTGGATTACTTTCACAGAGATGAGGAATTTTAAGGACTCAACTCTTAAATATTCTGGATACGATGTTCAATGTTACCTCTGCAACTGATGTCAGCACTGCTAGCCGCTATCGAGAGCAATTTCAGAGCGGTGGTGCGTGTTCACCCAACTAAACCCGACGAAGAAGAGCCCAAACTGGGAACAGTACGTTTTGACCTGGAACCTCAAGTCAGTGCTAGGGTTAGACCTAGATTGGTAGTCGGGATCCCTAACCAAGGAGATTAGTATTTTGAAGTCATCTCGGCTAGCACACTATGGTGCGACCAGTGTTGGACATTCTACCATACGGAATCAGACCCTTGTTGTTCGGTGGGGGTCGAGGCGGAATATGATCCTTTCGGCCGAAGTGGTGGAAAAAAACACTCCTCCAGAACCTCCCTTTTCTGAATTTGTTCCGAAAGGAGAAGTCCCTCCGCGAACAGGTTTTCGTAGAATGCCCTTCCAAGTGAGAAAGAGAACGTAAACAAAATCAGAAAGGGAGAAAGGGGTCTGGATTCCGAGATCGGGCAAACAGGGAAGTGTCGAAATCTGAGAGTACGTCGGGCAGTCGGAAAGAGAGTGCTTGCGGTCAAAAGGGAGAAGAGTCAATAAAGGGAATGAGAAAGATAGTTCATCTAGTGGCCTAAGTGGCAAGGAGAAGGCATACGATGAGGAGGAGGAAAACGAAGAGAAAGGGATGGAAATGAAAGAAATGGAGAAATAGACAGTTGGTGTGTTGTCGGGTAGAGTGAAGCAGATAAGAAGACAGGATTCTTCCTCACGGGGCCAAAAATGGGTTCCGGTTGGATATAACTCTGGGCACACTGAACCAGGGAACTTAGGAACAGGGCCCGTCGGGGCGGGCACCCATGGCATGGAGGAAGGTTTGTTGTCGGTAAACCCGATACCGACCTTGGGGCAAGAGGACGCCAACATTCCAAAGATCTTTGTCCCTTTAATCCTCACTAACTCGAGCAAGGGGATAATGGTCATGGCGAATGTTCTCACAAATGAAGCAATGGAGCTCCCCACTGCCTTTGTTAATGAAGCGTTAACAAAATCGGTGATTCTTGCAAAAGCAAGAAAACTAGTACTTGCATGTCTAAAACTTCATGTGATATCCACCTTGAGAGTGGGAGTGAACACAACTCAGGACAGTGTGGGGAACAGTGTATGTTTGTTCTATGTATTTTTGGATATCAAAATGTCCAACAGTGTCAAAGAACTCTTGGCAACCTTAGACAAGGACTGGTTCCCACTTTCAATCCTCAGTTCGCCGTTGAACGATGACATGGACAATATAATATTTAAAGGATACTTTTCCGCCAGAACCATCGCCAAGTGGTTGTTCCATTCGGCACAGAGACAAACATTGTTCTCCGACTCGTTTGGGGATACCTTGTGTCGGCCATGGGAAGAATCAACGGGGGAAGGAGAAGTAGAGGTTATCCGAAGAAGGAAGAAAAGTGAATTGGAATGAGATGAGGCCGACCGTATCCAAATCACGGTGCCAGAGTAAACAATGTCTCTTAGAGGTAGTCTTCGTATAGCATCATGAAATATACGTGGATTATGTGACACAGGTAAGAAGTTCAGAAGAGCTCGGTTCAAAAGTTGGATCCATTCGAAAAGGGTGCTTGTATCCAAGAACCGAAGCTTGATGAATTTCGCATGC